CTCGCAAAAATCTGTTAACCAAATTTCTTGCGCTGTATTTTTTTTCTCTTTTTTATACTTCTTGCCACTAAAGCTCAAATTAGTTGCAATATTTTTCGTTTTCTTTTCTCGTCAAACGTTATTCAAAGTTTAAATAAATGTTTCAAAGAACTTTTAAGTCTAATAGAGTTTCATATTTTTTTTTTTCTTTAAAAGTGTTAAAAGGACTTCGTTGCTTTAGATATATTAAAAAATTCTATGCCTAAATTCAACTCGGAAATTTTATTATTTATGAAAATAATTTAATGTTTGCAAAGAATTTTATAAACAATTGAAAATTTTTTTAATTTTAAATAATTGAATTCTTTACAATGAAAAAAAAATTATTTAATTCAAATAACCGATTAATTGACTATTATCAGGTAAATATTTACTTGAATCAAATAATATTTATTGGAGTCAATTAAATGATATTTGCAGGGCTCGAACCAGTGAAAGTATTTAAAAATACGATTATGTCAAAAAATGACAATCCAAAATTTTGCTAATACAAAGCTTCCTTTATGAAAAAGCAAAATATAAAATTGAACTTTATTTAAATTTTTGAAAACAATTGAATTTCTTAGAAGAATTTTATTATTTGAAAGGATAATAATAATTAAAATTTTGACGAGAACTTTTTAAAAAAAATTAATTCTACAGAATTGTTAGCTGAAAAGTATGAAAAATTCACATTTTCCAAGATTTTAATTTCAAACATTTTCAAAATCCAATTTTTTCTAAAAAATTCATACTCCAATGCTTTTAATATTGAATTATTATCTAAATTTTCAAAAAAAAATTAATTTTCAAATCAGTTTTGATTAGAAAATTCTACGAGAATTCAATTATTTAAATATAAAAATAAATAATTTATTGAATATATGTAGTAATGATGTTTTATCACTCGGTCGATAAATTAATAAAAACGATGAGATAGTCGATCACTCCGAGTCAGGATTATCCTGACTCGGAGTGATCGACTATCTCATCGTTTTTATTAATTTATTGAATAATTGATTACTTCTTAAAAATAAATTCTCATAAAGAATTTTATCAACAAATTTTTAAATAATTGAATGAGTTTTATTATTTATTAAAATAATTGAATTCCTAATAAGAATTTTATAATTTACCAAAATAATTGAATTATGGCTAACAAATTAATAAAACAATTTGTAAATACATGAATTTCTGTGAAATTTTTATTATTTTGTGAAAATAATTAAAGGTTTGTGTAGAATTTTATTACATTTTTTTTTAATTATAATTGAATTCTTTTAAAAAATTTTATTAACGTAGAGTGTTTTCAGGACCTTAATTTTTGTCAAATAAAATTGTTTATATTGTGGCCTTGGGTCCAAAAAAAAAGAAGAAGAAAATTTTATTAGAATAGTAGATACCTATTAAAAATCATTGTATTGAGGAAATTTTTTGAAAATAATTGAAATTTTGACAAGAATTTTATTAAAATTTTTGAAAATAATTGAATTTCAGAGAGGAATTTAATTATTTCTAAAGATAATTGAAATTTTGACGAGAATTTTTAAAAAATTTTGAACATAATAATTGAATTTTTGCGAAGAATTTTATCACTTTTAAAAATAATTGAATTTCTACAATCATTTGTAATTTCTTTAAAATTATCCAAATTATGTCCTACAATTTACAGACTTTACGGACCTTTTTTTTAAAAAAAACCGACTTTTACGGACTTCAAGCAAAGTTACGGACTTTTACGGGATTTACGGGCCTAGTAAATTGAAAAGTTTTGAAAAACAAAAATTAAAGTTTCCAAATTTTAACAAAAGAAAAAATTTTCTTATCTCTAATTATACTTGAAATATTTTGTGTCTAATAATTTATTTTGATAATGTATTGTTAACCTTCGTGTAAAACTATGTTTAGTTAATTTTAAACCCCGAGCAATTTAACGTTTCGTTACTCAAAGTGTTGCATACTTTTATGAAAATTTTTTAAAACAGCACGAAATGTCGAAAATAATAAAATTTATATTAATTTATTTATTCACAATCGTGATGCTTTTGAGTGGAATTAAACTGACGTTGGCAACAAAAGGTAATTTTAAAAATTTGACATTTTATCAAGACCTAATTAATATTAAAATATTTTAATAATAGGAATTCTTTTTTCTTTTTGGAAAGTTACTGTGCGCAGCGGTGAAGATTGTTATCATGTTTGCTCTGGTATAAAGGAAGCAATATTTGGTTGCTCTATTGGATGGAAAAAATGTCAAAAATTTAAAAATTAATTTCACTTTTAATATTGTGAGAAAGAAGAAATGAAAAGATTCTGATGATAATTTGAAAATAAAGAACAATTGAAAAGCATTAAACATTTTCTCGATAAGCCCCCGGTACTTCGTCCTTTTAACTTTGAATAAGTGCTTGACTTTCGGCTATAAAAAAATGCGATGTCGCCTCAAGAAAGAAAGAAAATAATGCTAAGCTTTCTTGGGTCATACTAGCTGCTCGCCTATATTGGAACTATAATTAAACTGGGGCTAAAGAAGAACAAAACCGGATAGGAATCTTCTTACTCCCTAGTTATAATTTTTCACCCACGCTCAATACCTTATTATTAACTCATCGACACAAGGACGTTATTCGCAAGTTATTCAACATTATATTCTAACGGTAAATGTATTTAACTGTTTAAGAAATGAATATCCTGCACTTAACTATTTCATTATTATATGTATATACTTTAAGCATTAATTCAACTATCGTATTTCAGGCTCTTAAGTTTTTCAATTAAACTTCAATATGCGCTATGAAAACAGATTGAAATTTTAGATTCCCATCCTGAGAGTAGTTCACGCAGTATTATATAAAAAGAATTTATTTCAATTTATTTCAATTTATTTCAATGTAGGAATCTCATTTTTATTCACAATATTTTAAGACGAGAATTTCTATATAAATTTTGTCTTTCAAATTTGTGCGCAAATTCAAAACTAGTCTTGAATTAAGGTTCGAGAAATAGAATCTTCTTTTTGCAAACCACTCTTTAAATTTGAATTAATAATAATAAAAATTTTAAATACTAATATTAAACCACTTTTCTACTAATTAGAGAACATGAATTTGTTTACCAATTAAATGGTAAATATTTTACTAATATTTTGTAGTAAATGGTACTTTTTCCATTAATTATTGATAGTTTAGTAGTTTTCAGCACTAAAAAAATTATTACAGGGTTGTCACAACAATATAATTTTGTTTTTCCCTGATTTACATATTTTATTTTGTTGTATTATCATAACTTCTTCAAATTATTATCATTATTTCCATTCAATTATCATTTTCTAGAATTTTCAACTAAAATTCTTCTTTAAATCAACCATTTAATAATTTTTGAAAAAATTCTCTGAGAACTTTCAAATCCATTTGTTAACAATTCAATTTTACGAAATTTCAATAATTATTCGGAAATTCTTCAATGAAATATTATATTAGAAAATAAAAACTTCATGTAATTTCAAAAGAAATTCAATTAAACTTTTTCAAAAAAAATAAATCTACAGAATTATTAGTTGAAAGTATGAAAAATACAAATTTTAAAGCTTTGAATTTGAAACCTTTTCAAAATTCAATTATTATTTCTAATATTTAATTATTATCTAAAATTTTAATTGAAAATTATTTTTAAATCAATTTTTATTAGAAAATTCTATGAGAATTAAATTATTGAATTACGAAAATAAATATTTCATTGAATAATTGAATGTTTCTTAAAATTGAATTTTCATAAAGAATTTTAACAACAAATGTTTAAATAATATTGAATCCTTCTGACGAATTTTAACAAAATTTTTAAGAATAATTGCATTTTTCGAGGAATTTAATTAAAATTTTATTAAAAAATAATTAAAATACTGGGTTGAATTTCATTATATATATATAGGAAAATAATTTAATTCCTAAAATGAGTTTTACTATTTACGAAAATAGTTGCATCAATAAAAAGAATGTTAATATTTATAAAAATAATTGAATTATTGAGAGGAGTTTTATAAAAAATTGTAAATAAATAATTAACATTTTTTTCGAAAAAAATGTAAGCAAATTCTATTTTAAAGAATTGAATTCCTGTGAAATTTTTGTTATTTATAAATATAATTGAAAGTTTGCGTACAATTCTTTCAATATTTTTTTTTAAATAATTGAATTCGTTTGGGAAATATTATTAAAACAGTAGATATTGAAAATCATTGAATAGAGAAAAATTTTTTTAAATAATTAATTTCGGCTAAGAATTTTGCTATATTTATAAAAATAATTGAAATCTTGAAAATAATTAAAAAAAATTTTTTTTTTAATAATTGAATTCTTATGATGAATATTGTTATATTTATGAAAATAATTCAATTTTGTAAAGAATTTTATTAAAATTCCTGAAAATAATTGAATTTCTAGGAAGAATTTTGTTATTTTTGAAAATAATTGAAATTTTGCCACGAATTGTAATAAAATTTTTTTAAATAATTAAATTTTAGCAAAGAATTTTGCTATTTATAAAGATAATTGAAATTTTGACAAGAATTTTTTTTATTCTTGAAAATAATTGAATTCCTGCGAAGAATTTTATTAATTTTGAAAATAATTGAATTCTTCTGATGAATATTGTTATTTATAAAAATATAATTTGTCTTCTTTCGTCAAAATACGAAATTACAACTTTTGTTCCGATTGTTCGTAGGATACTTCCTCAATTAGTAAAAAACCACAAATTTAGATTTAAAGAGCAGTGTAAATTCTAATTTAACAAATTTTCAAGACTTTAAAATATTCTTTTCAGTATGTTTTAGATTAAAGAATGAAATCTTACTCTTAATCATTAAATCACTTTACGTCATAAATTACGACTTTCTTTCGTTTTATTAAAAAGAAAAATATGACAAATAAAAAAATATGTTTTAGGAAATAGGAGATATTTAGGATCAGAATTAATAACTGTAATTCTGTAAAGTAGTATATTGCTATAAAATATATCCTAGTAACTATAATGCTATAGTAAAATATTTCAATATTTTTTACAATTAAAAAATAAGTTAATTAAAAAAACGTACTTTAAGTTTTAGGGGCGCCATATGCATCGGGCATTCTTTCGATCGTATAACGATGTTGAGCGACGTACATTATTGGTACTCCTGGAATTTTGCGAATTCTCCTCTTTAGGTCCTTGTCATTGGTGGCAACAATGTAGCATTTGTGCTGAAAAAGATATTAAATTATTAAATCTCGTAACTAGCAGAATTATATATACTAACGTTTCACGTTTTTTCAAAAGCAAAGAGAATATTGAGGTTAACTTCAAAGGACGAAACGCGGAATTGATAGGGATCAATAGTTTTTGGATTAGATAATTAGGAAAAGTATGTTTAAATTGAATCAATAAGCTTTAGAACTAAGAAGAACTTTGGAATAAATACTTAACCGTCTTTTTACTCTTTTATTTACTCGATTTACTCAAATGTGCTCAAATGACCGTTAAAGTAGTTAACAGTCATTTAAAGTAAAAACTAAAATTCTAATCTAAAAATTTTAAATTGGACACCTATTGAGAACTATGACAATTAAATTTCAAAGCGCTTGAGAAAGTATCAATTAATATAGACAGAGGGCACTTTTTAATTAATTTACCGACCGTAGCATATTTTTTTTTCAACAAACAGTTTGTTTTAAACATACAAAGAAGCAGTTTAAATATTTCAAAATATTCTCTTATAATTCTCAAGCAAAAAAAAAATTCAATTATGTTCAAAAATTTTTTTAAATTCTTGTCAAAATTTCAATTATCTTTAGAAATATTAAAATTCTTCTCCGAAATTAAATTATTTTCAAAAAATCTAAAAAAACATTGTCAACATTTCAATTATCTTTATAAATAAATAGCAAAATTCTTCGACAAAACTCAATTATTTTCAAAAATTTTATTAAAATTCATTAAAAAATTTCAATTATTTTCATAATTAACAATATTTATCACACGAATTCAATTATTTTCTAAAGTAATAAAATTCCATTATTTTCAAAAATTTTAATAAAATCCATTGCAAAATTTCAATTATTTTCAAAAGTAATAATATTCTTCGCAAAAATTAAATATTGTTCAATATCTACTATTTTCATAAAATTTACCAAAAAAATTTAATAAAATTCTATACAAAAACTATGTATTAATTATTTTCAAAAAATAATAAAAATTTCACAAGAATTTCATTAATAACAATTTTTTTTTTATAAATTTCTTCGCAATCATTCAACTATTTTCATATTTAATAAAATTTTTACCGGGATTCAATTATTTTCGTAAATAATAAAATTCTTTTTAGGAATTCAATTATTTTCAATAGAATTTTAATCGAATTCCTGGAAAAAATTCTTAAAATTTTTATTAAAATTCGTCCAAAGAATTTAATTATTTAAAAATTATATATAATAATCGTCGTGATTCCAGATTTCCGGATCTCTGTCCACACTTGAAGTTAGTTATGGTTATTCTTTTGTTTTTTATACGTTTGTTTTGAAAATTAATTTTTGTGGGTTAAGCATTAGCATTTTTTATATTTTTAAATGTCAAATTTTTCAATGTTTATGTTATTATTGTACAGTGCTGCCAAATTGGAAGAAATATAGTAAAAACTTGAAGATTGTTTGAAAATGTTGTGAAGGCTGTGTATATATCAAGTAATTATGAAAATATTTATAAACATTTAAATAATATAAATAAACCATTTTTTAAAGATAAATTATAATTTTTGTTCTTTACGTTTTTATGATTATAATAATAAATGTAATAATTATTAATTACTAAAGTAATTGTTACTGTTACATTTATTATTTTGCAAATCAAAAAATGTTATATTTTCAAATATAAACATTAATTTTTTAATTTCAGATTAACTACATAATTAACTATTCTTGTTTATTATTTTCAAAAATGTTAATAAGAGTTTTCGAAAGAATTTAATTATTTAAAAAAAAATTTTTATAAAAATCAAATGACTAATTATTTCCAAATTTTTCAATAAAAACTTTGCAAGATTTTAGTCATTTTCAGTGCATTAATTTTTAAAATTAAAAACATTGAAAACTTTTACTTTCAAATTGCGAACAGATTCAAACACAGCAATATTAATTTATTTCTTTATAATTCTTTGTGAAATTTATTTTCTTTTATCATATTCTAGAAAAAATTATAACCAAAATCTGAAGAAAGTTTTTTGATTAATTTAAAGATTTCTGAAGATAAATAAGAAAATTCTGAAGATTTGTCGTTTCAATCATCTGACAGTACTGTTATAGTGTTTGATTCAATTTTTAGCTTTACAACTATCATTTACTCTAAAGGTAAATACTTTTCTATAATTTAATGTTAACATTATTTCAATATATTGAAAAAAGTTATTTGATATAATTTACATTCAATTGAATTTTATTTTTATAAATTTCTTAATGCAGAATATTTAGTTTTTTAACTTTTTAATAAATTTTTAACTTGCAAAACTCTAAATAATGTAATTGTTAAAAATATAATATTTATTTTTCATAATTTAAAATTATTAATTATTTTCATAATAATTTAAAATAATTACTATAGGGTAGAGTGGGGTAAAAAAGCCACATTTTTACTTTTGATGTTGTAAAATCTGTATTTAAAATTTTTTTCTCAAATTTCCAATTGTTATTGAAAGTTTAGTTATTAAGCTTGAAAATTCTTGACGGAAATATTTTTTATCTCATGAAAGGACTAAGTTATAAGAGTTTTACGAAAGCACTGTAAGTGGCTTTTTTGCACCACCTGGTGGGGTGAAAAAGCCACCCTACGATTTTAGCAAAACATGTTATCAATTTAGGTATTTTTATAGTTTCCCTTTATTTATATGACAAATAGTCTTATTTGAAAAATATTCTAATAATTATGAAAGAGTTTTTAGCAAGCAAAATTGAAAATTATATTAAGTTTACCTGTTTTCCATTTGCACTGCCACTTTTTCGTACCTTTTTTAGAAGTTCTCTTTAAGTTTTACCAAAGATAACATATTTCGTTGCGACCGTTTATTCATTGTTTATTTTTTAAATGCACTTTGAACTACTTTTTCGTCGTGTTTAATTTATTTTATTAAATAAACACGAGAAATTTTGTAAAATAAGAAGGTTAGTTTAAATAGAAAACAAGTGAATTTCACAAAATATTCAATGGATTTTTTGCCCTGGCTTTTTTACACCCAAGACCAGTTATTAAAAAAAGCAAAAATAAATTGTTAATTCAGTTCAATTTCCAAAAATCAACATTGTATACGTTTTCGGTATACTTTTCTCCTTATGTACAAACATTTACTTTTATTATTCGTTCACTTAATCAAATTGTAATATGTTTGAAAAGTTCACCAAAATGTTTTCAAAAAAGCAACAAAAAATTAAAATTACAATAAAAACAATATTAATCTAGGTACAACATTCAAACTAGATTCAAAAGTTGCGTATTACCTAATAGTATTTATATTCTAAACAGCTGATAAATCGGCTTAATAGTTTTTAAATAAAACTCAAATGGCTTTTTTACACCATGGCTTTTTTACCCCACTCTACCCTACTATTAAAGACTACAACATAAATTTAAATTATCAAAGTATATTTTATAAAATAGTAATTTAATACAAGTTTTATATTTATATTTTTTATTACATAAAAATATTGTCTAATGTCATGTTTATTTTATGAACTTTCAACGTGTCTTAATTTTCATATGTTTTTAATTAATACGTGATTTATAGAATATTCAACAAATCAATGAAAATATATTGTCAATTTTTTCAATTAAAAATATATTACATCAAATATCTATTCCCAATATTTAAATAATGTTAACATTAAATTATGGACACATACCTGCCGAGTAAATAATAATTATAAAGTTAAAAATTCAATTAAACAACCAATATATAGAATTAAAATGTAGGGGCTATCATACGCCTAAAATTTATCTGAAATTTTTTTTTCTTTGTTTCTAAAAACGAATTTAGAATATTTTTTTTATGCTTCATTATAATATTATATTACATCTTGTAATTAAATAATTAATGCAAGTTATAGTTTGTATTTATACTATAGATATTTTGTTTTCCAAAGAAATTAGAATTAAAAGTTGTTAACTTTATTATTTTTCAATTAATTTAATTTTTTGCAGTTATGGTAGTTTCAAAAGATACGGAATTTTTTGTTTAAAAAGCTAAATGAATAATTATTTCTTTAATTTTTGGAATAATTAAAATTTTCGTAATCAAAATTATTTTGAAAATAAAAGTATAAAATATGTAACAATTTTTGCGAGATTCAATTTTCTTCGTACAACATGAAAGTTTAACAGCAGTAATAGTATTTTAACAAAATTTATAGGATTCACTTAAAATTCGTTTCTAATACGTTAAATTTGACATTAAAATTTAGAAATTCAAAATAGAACTTCCATTTGTCTGACTTTCTTCTAATTTATCGGACTCAGTGATTTCTGGGGTGAATTTGGTAAAGTTCTAAAATGATTAATTTCTATGTTGAATTCGTTATTTTGAATTTAGAAAATCTGATGTTAATTTAATTATTTTTTCGTTATGCACGACAAAAAACATTTACCTGGATAAACTACAGATTTCACTTTATTAGCGAAATTTTTCAGTGCTTCAATTAATACTTTAAAAAGTATATTTAAATTAAAATAATCTAAATAAGAAATATATCTCTCAAATTATTATTAATAACTACTATTCATTTCAAACAGTTGAGAAGGATGTTTTAAGGATTTTTGAATCAATTTGTAGAAGTAGATAAAATTCTTTATTTTTAAAATTAAATCTTTAATCTTAAAGTAGCTGAGACTGCGGCTAAAACTTAAATTTTGAAAAGATGTTTTTTAGTCAATAAATCCGTTTAGATGCAAAAATATATAAATAGATCAATCTTGTATAGGCCAATTGTCCTCACCAACATTTAATAAAAAAGCTTCTAATATTTTAGCGTAAAATAAATGTTTTGCTCTTTTTTCAAAACTTTGATTTTGTAACATTTAACAATTATAAATTTAATAAACTAAAATTTATTTATAAATAAAAAACAAAATTAAATCTCCCTTATATAATTTTTTTTTCTTTTTATAATCTTTACAATTTCCCTGACTAATTAAAAAATTCCCTGACTTTTCCCTGACCAGTGGCCACCATGTCTAGCCATACTTCAGGTCCAGTAATGTAAATTCTATTTAAATTGAGACCATTAAGTGAAAGTATTTGAATTTAAAAAAAATTAGAAGTTCGAAGTCCTTAAATCTTTTTTGTAAACTTTAAAGTTTCAAAATTATATAAAATGAAAATTTAATTCTCTATAATTGTTAACATTTTTCCACTTTTAATTATTTCAAACTTTTTGTTAGGTAATAATAATTATTTCTTTAAACATTTTTTAAAATAAAATGGAGTTTAAATTGTTTAAAATAAGCAGCTTGACACAACATTCCCGCGCGCTTGCGCGCGGATAGTTTAGCTAGTTTGTTATTAAAATTTTTAATAGGAATTGAACTCCAAGAAACATTTAATTATTCAATAAATTATTTATTTTTGTATTTAAATAATCGAATTCTGGTAGAATTTTCTCATAAACATTGATTTAAAAATAGATTTCAGTTAAAATCTTAAATTATAATAATTGAATTCTATCGAAGAATTTCATTACAATTTTAAAAATAATTGAATTTTATTGAGACATTTTTTTAAAAATTGTCTTAAAAATAATTGAATTTCTACCAAAAAAAGTTTTATGAAAACTTTTTAAAATGTTTGAATTTCTGCTAAAATTCTGATATTTTTGAAAATAATTGAATTCTTGCGAAGAATTTTATTAAGACTTTTGAAAAATAATTGAATCTCTGCGCAAAGATTTTTATTATTTTACGAAAATATTTAAATTCTTGCGAAAAATTTTATTAAAATTTCTGAAAGTAATTGAAGATCTGCTAAGAATTTTGTTATTTTTAATTTATGCCAAGAATTTCATTAAAATTTTTAAAAATAATTGAGTTCCTGTTAATTTTTTTGCAAGAATTTAATTATTTTTGAAAATTTTAATAAAATTCTTCGCAAGAATTCAATTATTTTCATAAATAATAAAATTCAATGCAGAATTTTAATTATTTTTAATACAATTTTAATCAATTATTTTCGAAAATTTGTTGATAACGATTTTTTATGGGAATTGAATTTTAAGAAACGTTCAATTATTCAATAAATTATTTATTTGCATTTAATTTGTATTTAAATAATTGAATTCTAGTAGAATTTTCTAATAAAAATTGATTTTCATTTTATAAAAATGAATTTCAGTTAAAATTTTAGATAATAATTTAATATTAAAAGAAAATAATATAACGTGAATTTTAAAAAATAATTAAATTTTGTAATTAATTTTTTTGAAAAAGTTTAATTGAGTTTTTTTAATATTATTTTTAGTTTCTATTTTCTAATACTTATTTAATTAAAGAATTTACGAATAATTGAAATTTCGTAAAATTGAATATTGTAAAGAAATGAATTTGAAAATTGTCAAAGAACTTTTTTGAAAATTATTAAAAATAATCGATATAAAGATGAATTTGAGATAAAAATTCTTAAAAATAATAATTGAATTGATAATGATTTTAATTATTATAAATTATTATTTTTATTAATGATTATTATTAATATTATAAAAAATGAAGAAATCGATGACTTCGAGTCGAAGACTTGGAGTTATCGATTTCTTCATATTTTATAGTTATAAAAAATTGAATTTCTAGTTTTAAGTAAAATGTTCTCTTATTTGATTCGGCCAGATTCTATTTTTGTCAGTTGGTCCGTAATTTTTAATTTTTGGTCCGTAAAGTCCGTATTTTTAAATACTTTCACTACTTCGAGCCCTGCATTTGAGAATTATAAAAGAATCCTTTATGTCAAGAAACTTATTTTCCTACATTAACTCACCTGCATTACTCTGTTGACTAAACAATCATCTGCATACGTGCCTCTATGATTGCATGGTAATCTTTCAAATCGAGGATCTTTTATAATCTTCAAAGCAATTTTATATTTTGGTCCCAGTTTCTCTAATTCGCCTAAAACGCAATCTGTTACGTAAGGTATACATTTGGCATACAAACATTCTTCCATGTTTTGTATGACATCGAGTTTGTTTTTAATTGAAAAGTTAACGAAATTTGTGTCGATTATAATGTGATAGGGTGGTCCTAATTGTGTGTTATATTCAAAGAAAAGAGCCGACGATTGTTTAGGTCTGAAAAAAATAGATACATATTTGTAAATAAATCAGAATTCGTAAAATAATGTTTTTTCTTTAATTTTAAACTTACAAATCTTTAATTTTCTCTTTCGTATCATCTGGCTTTTTGTTCTTCGAAACACGCTTTTCCGGTTTACTGCAACATTTACAAAAAATATTAATTTAAATTATTAGGAAAGAATTTAAAATACTAGACGATAAATAAAATGAATCAGTGTTATTAATCTTATTTGTTCATAACATGCATACTTACATTCGTGGGTCATTAGGATTAATCATTTTTTTCATTTGAGCAAATTTTTGCATCACCACCCTTCGAGTCTTTTTATTCTTTCCCTAAAATAAATAATAATGCACATAAAAAATAAGAAAATAATGTTAAATAGTTTGTATTTCGAGTCAATGTGTACGAATCATAACCTCACTTTCAACACGTGTTTCAATAAAAAGTTTCCGATTCGAACACTGCAAATATTTTTGCATAAAACATTGAATGCTTACCATCTTGAACAATAACCAAACTACTTTATTGTTATTTATGTCTCAAGTTTTATCAATTTTATGAGATTTTTATGAAAACGATGACAAAAACGACAAAAACTCTTTGGTTTGACACTACAGGTACCACAGGTTGACAGGTATTTAAACGCAAAAACATTGTGAACGGAGACTAAGGGAATGCTCTAAGAGCTGATTGGCTGAAAATTTCCTTACAAGCAATTTCATTGGAGAAATGAAATTTCAGTTTCCCGCTTCTGTCTTCAAATGTGAAATAATTGAAATTAATTAAATTGTAAAAAAAAAATTACAACTAGACAAGAAATTTTTAGAAAATTATCAAAAGAATAATATTTATCAACTAAAATTCAAATTAGCATTTTTATAAATTTAAATATGATATATTTTATAAAGGTAGTCTGCACTGCTGAGAGTGTGTGTACAGTGATGAGATGAGGGCTTGGAAAGTGAACACAAGACACGTTGGCTTGCATATGTCGTGATTGTCAATAAATAACGGGTGTTTTTTAGCTTTAAATATTTGTTATTCACTTAAAATAGATAATAAATACGACAATAAATAGACATTAGTTTTGTACTTTTAAGTCATTCCGTTTACTTCTACATGCAAAGTGAGTGAAATTTTTCTTTTCTTATTATTAAATAGCAACAAGTCATAACAAATAGGTTAAGAAGTTAATGACCACAGTGACATTTTCAAAACTATTTGACCGAAATTCTCTTATTAATAAATTCTGGAAATCTGAAAAGAATTTTAAAAAAATGATGACACAATGAGTGTTTGCTGAATCTGTTTTTTTTAACTCGCAACAAATGTTTCGATTCTACTTTTGTTTGATTTAATCACGATTTCATATAGATAAATATTTATTAAAAATGTTAATATTTTGAATGCCTTTGTATTTACTTAACAATAATAATAATAATAACATAATAATCAGTAAGAACAATTTAAATGTTTGGAAAGATTTAGAAGTAAACTTGATTGTATTTGTACTTGAGATAAACGTGTTTGTTTAGGGTTATCTTAAAAAATGCATAATATGTTCTTTAAATTCTTTTACAGTTTATAAAATTATTCAAACATGCGAATTGTGCAGATAAGAAGAAACCGCTTATTTCAATTATGTGCTTGGCTTTGCTTGGCCACTTTAATAATTTATGCATTTCTGTCTTTTGCTTCGAAAGATCATGTTAACTCCATTAAAGGATATCTAATAAAAAATATCGTGCAGGTAACTTTTTTAATACTAAAAAAATATTCTTTTAATATTTACTTTTAGATGAAATATAGTAAACAAATAGTAATTAAATCTCAAAATTTTTAGAAACCTGTTGCGGTGGATGGTTTGGGTAATTTTGAACCTACGAATGTAAAGCCAAGAACTGGACCAGGAGAAGATGGAAAGCCACATATTTTAAGAGAAGATCAACAAAATGACGTTCAACAATCGGAAGCAGAATATGGAATGAATATGGTGTGCTCAGACGAAATTTCTCCGGATAGATCAATTCCTGACTCAAGACCTGATGAGTAATGTCACTTTTAAATTCTAAAGTAATTAATTTACTGTCATAGTTAATTATTTTTTCTGCTTTCTTTCTCTAGATGCAAACACTGGGATTATCCTAAAAATTTGCCACGTACGAGTGTTATTATTGTTTTTCACAATGAAGGTTTCTCGGTGTTAATGAGAACGGTGCACACCGTGATAAATAGAACGCCACCTGAATTTTTAGAAGAAGTTCTTCTTGTAGACGATTTTTCGGATAAAGGTTCGTTAATAATAATGTTAAAAGAAATCAGTACCGAAGATAATGAAATAATTTCCGTTAATTTGAATTTTTTTCAGAAAATTTGAGAGGAGAATTGGAGTCCTACATAGAGAAATGGGATGGTAAAGTGAAACTAATAAGAAATCATGAGAGACAAGGTTTGATTCGAACCAGATCACGTGGAGCTCGAGAAGCAAAGGGAGAAGTTATTGTCTTCTTAGATGCCCATTGTGAAGTTAATACCAATTGGCTGCCGCCTTTATTAGCTCCGATTGCTCTCAACAGGTTTGAAATTCATTTCATAAATTTTATACTGATTTTAAAAATTGAGTTTGATTATTGAAAATAATTTTTGATTCTCAATAGTAACGTGATGACTGTTCCCGTAATCGATGGAATCGATCACAAGACTTTTGAATATCGACAAGTTTATCACGAAGGCCGTCTGTACAGGGGAATTTTCGAATGGGGAATGTTGTATAAAGAAAATGAATTGCCAAATCGAGAGTCGAAAACTCGAGAACACAGTAGTATGCCATACAGGTGAATAAAAATTATTATTATAATTATTATAATAAAATATAATATCGTAATTTATATTTCTCTTTTAAATTAGGTCACCAACACATGCAGGTGGACTATTTGCAATAAATCGAAAATACTTTATATCATTGGGTGGCTACGATGAAGGACTACTCGTCTGGGGAGGAGAGAATTTTGAATTGTCTTTCAAAATCTGGCAGTGTGGAGGCAGCATACTGTGGGTTCCTTGCTCACACGTTGGTCATGTTTATCGAGGTTTTATGCCTTACAATTTTGGCAAACTCGCGCAAAAAAAGAAAGGACCGCTCATTACAATCGTAAGCAACAAATTTCAATAAATATTTCATTGAATTGGTCAAGGAAATTTGAATTTTTCATACTATTAATTAATAATTCTGTGGAACTAATAATTTAGAAAAATTGTGATTACAATTCTTTTGAAATTAGATACATTTTTAAATATATTTAATACTATTTTAAAAATTGTAACGCAATCTTGGAAAGAATTTAATTATATTGATAAATGTCAAAATTCTTCTAAGAAATTCAATTATTTTCAGGAATTTTAATGAAATTCTTTGCAAAATTTAATTATTTTCATAAATAACAATATTCATCATAAGAATTCAATTATTTCAAAAATAAAAAAAATCTTTCCAGAAATTCAATTATTTTCAGGTATTTTAATAAAATTCTTTACAAAATTCAATTATTTTCATAAATAACAATATTCATCATAAGAATTCAATTATTTTGAAAAATAATAAAAATTTTCCCAGAAATTAAATTATTTTCAAAAATTTTAATAAAATTCTTGTTATAATTTCAATTATCTTTATAAATAATAAAATACTTCACATAAATATTCAATTATTTACATGAATTTTAATAAAATTCCTTGCAGAATTCAATTATTTTCATAAATAACAATCTTCATCATAAGAATTAAATTATTTTCAAAAATAATAAAATTCTTCTTAGAAATATTCAATTATTTTCAGGAATTTCAATAAAATTCTTTGCAAAATTCAATTATCTTTATAAATAACAAAATACTTCGCTAAAATTTAATTATTTTCAAAGATTTTAATAACATTCTTTGCAAAGTTTTAATATTATTTTCAAAAATTTTTCTCAGTTCAGTGATTTTTAATATTTACTATTTTAATAAGATTTTGCACAATAATTTAATTTATATTTAATTAATTATTAAAAATAATGGATTTATAAAAGAATTTTAATTAAAAATACACAAAAAAAATGGAATTTTGGATATGTTACAAATGATTGCAGACATTTTTAATTATTTTTAAAAGTAATAAAATACTTAGCAGAAATTAAATTATGTTCAAAAATTAAAAAAAAATTCTGGTCAAAATTTTAATTTTTTTTATAAATAATAAAATTCTTCTCCGAAATTCAATTATGTTTAGGAATTTTAATAAAATTCTTTGCAAAATTAAATTATTTTCATAAAAAACAATATTTATCAGAAGAATTTTCATTGTTTTAAAAAATAATAAAAGTCTCACTCGGTTATCTTTAATTATTATAAAACATGAAGAAATCGATATCTTCATGTTTTATAATAATAATAATAATATTAATATTCTTAAAAGTTATTGAATTTCAAAAGGTTTGAATTTAAAATTTTTCAAAATCTTAATTTTAATGAAAAAATAATAATGATTAAATATTTTATAAATAAAATCATTGATGTTTTCGAATAATTTTACATTTTAGAGAAATTTGTCAATAAATGTAATAGAACATTTTTTTGAATATCTAATCATTTTTAGAGTGATTCAGAATATTTTTTAGGGTCAGCGAAAAAGTTAAAATTTCATCTGGAAATTAACTTGTGCAATCTATTAAAAAATTTATTAGTATGTTAATGATATTAATTTGTGTTATTTGTGATTCTTTCATTCCATTGTAGAATTATAAAAGGGTTATTGAAACTTGGTTCGACGATAAGCATAAAGAATTCTTTTACACAAGAGAACCATTAGCGAGATTATTGGATCATGGCGATATTACTGAGCAGCTTCTTTTCAAGAAACGAAAACAGTGCAAAAGTTTCCAATGGTACATGGATAATGTAGCTTATGACGTTCTTGACAAGTTTCCAGAATTACCGCCAAATATTCACTGGGGCGAGGTATTTCATTGTTAACAATTATTTTATTTTAATTTTATTAGAGAAAATGAACCTAAGAAACAAGTTATTTTAATTATGTTGGTATTACATTTACCTTGTTAATTAAAAGTTTCTGTGTTTAAACTAAAAAAATTGCTTCTTAGCGCGTCACATTTAAAATCGTTAAATTCATCCTGGAGAAAAGTTACCTAATTTAAGAAACAATATTTTTAGTTAGTAAGCGTGGCAACTTCAGCGTGTTTGGACACCATGGCACATTCACCCCCTAGTCTAATGGCTACATCCTATTGCCATGGATTTGGAAACAACCAAGTAAGCAAATTTTTAGCATTCATATATTTGTTAAGTATTAGATTATAATTATCATCGTACTATATTATAATTATTTCTTAGCTTATGAGACTGAATGCAAAGGGACAATTGGGAGTCGGTGAGCGTTGCGTGGAAGCAGATGGACAAGGTGTAAAATTAGTATTTTGTCGACAAGGAACTGTTGACGGTCCTTGGCAGTATGATGAGGTATTTCATTTATAAACCTAATAAAGAATTCATCCTTTAGTGTGAATTTATAATTCACCCTTTTTGAATTTATTTACAGAAAACAAAAACTCTTCTACATAGAGTACATAAAAAATGTGTAGCTCTTCATCCACAAACTCATCAATTATCGTTAATGCCCTGTGATATTTACAATACATACCAGCAATGGAGTTTCCATCAAATTCATCCCAAGTGGTGAAAATAACGTATTTTCAAAGAAAATACATGCTCAGAAAATCATCAAATTCCTAAGGTTACTAAACTGATGAAAAACTAATCAAGTTACTTGTAGATTATTTGTTGACATTAGGTTCTTAAGTCAAATTTTGTACAAATGCGCAATCGACCAATTACATTTTTTTAGCAACTTTTTTCAATATCCAATATAGGTGTATAAAATATAATTGATTTATTTTTTTATACAATTTTAGATTTTCACTGATAGTTTCAGATAATGTTTTTTAAAATTGAAACGCACAAAATTGGAATTAGTTTGTATTTTCATAACTTTTTCTATAAGTTTTCGCATTTAAATGAATGAAGGAATTTTTGACTGAATTGAAAGAACACTTTCTACTAACAATGTAGAGTACTTAAAGAGAAGAAGATTAATGTTTATTAGGTAGATAAATGACTATGATTCCAATTTAGATTAGAATTTACAAGATAGTATAGTAGTCTCTGTATTTGTTAAATAATTTTAAATCATGACAATAACGATGAATATAAATTATATATTCAAATAGTTATTCAATATATCGCTTTCAACCAGTTGAAACTTTTATATATATTATAATATTTATATAATAGGCATTCAATGCATTAATTTTGTGATTGAAAGAAAATAGCTCTTCCTTTTTTTTTTAATTTAGAATAAATATTTTAATCAAATGGTTTATGTATTTTACGTATTATATAGTTTTATAGCAAGTTATTATTGTGAATTCTTCGACGGTTATATAATTATAACATACTGTTTTTCTTTAATTTCTTCTTTCCATAGACTAAAATAAAATTTTGTTATTAAATCAAGTATTATTGAGTACATACAGTAAACGTAAGATTTATTGAAATTAATATTTTAATAAAAATAAAAACATTTTACACAAAGTTCTACTTTTTTCTTCAAATGCAGGCTTCGCACTCATCTACTAAAACCTACTACTACTAAACCCACTACTTTAAATTCGTTAATACTAAAAATCAAAAAACTATTCTCAAAAAGTATAATCAAATTCTTTAAAAAGATTCATTTCTTTTCAAAAAATATTCGAAATTCAATTATTTACAATATCTAGTAATTTCATAAAATTTCGCAAACAAATTCAATTATTTAAAAAAAAATAATAAAATTCATCCAAAATTCAATTATTTAAAAAAAATTTGATAAAATTTCCACAGGAATTCAATTAATTAAATTAATTAGAAATTAATTATTAAGAAGAATTAAGAAATTACTAATTAAGAAATTAATTATTTAACAAAATTTTTATACAATTCTTCACAATAATTCAATTACTATCACTAATAAAAACATTCATTTTTTACGGAAACTCAATTTTTTAAAAATGTTAATAAAATTCTTATGGAGAATTCAATTATTTTCAAAAATAATAAAATTCTTCTCAGGAATTCAATCATTTTTGAAAATTTTAAAAAAAATCTTAGCAACTATTCAATTGTTTTTATAAATTAATCAAATTCATCGCTAGATTTCAATTATTTTTAATAAAATTTTACAGGAATTCAATTATTTAAAAAAATTCTAATAAAATCGTTTGCAAACGATTTTATCTTTTTAGGAATTCAATTATTTTCAAAAAAATTTAATAAAATACCACATAGACATTCAATCATTGTTCAAAATTATAATAGAATTCTTTGTAAAGTTTAATTATTTTCAAAAATTATTCTCAATTCAATGATTTTCAATATCTACTATTTTCATAAAATTTCCGAACAAAATTCATGATTTAAAAAATTTTTTGCAACAAATTTCTTAAGAATTCAATTCTTTTAATGAATAATAAATATTTCTCACTAAATCAATTATTTAAATTAGAATTTGCATAAAATTAGGCGAAAGAAATGAATTATTTAAAAAGTTGTATAAAATTCTTCGCAAGAATTAAATTATTTTTATAAATATTTAAATTCTTGCATGAATAATAAAATTCGTTGCAGGAAATTAATTTATTGACAAGATAAGAAAGAAGTAAATATTTTTGAAGAAAATTTGGAAAAAGTCAGGAAAATAAAATATAGAATGGAATTTTTGTCAGTTTTGTGAAGTGTCTAAAACGAGGTTTTTTGGTCGTCAAGTTTAATTCTACTTTTTTTTAGTTTGAAAACTACTTTTTGCTAATTTTTTAAAATTAATTATCGATTACGAAGTCTGGAATTGATTCATCAATTACCTTTAAAACTTAACAATTACTTTTCTCAACAATCTAAAAGGTCAAGTTTCCTCTTCGAATCGAAATTTTTTTTAAGAAATCATAACAAAAGATCTATTTTTTAAATAACTTTATTGTGTACTGTTTATTATAAAAAAAAACAAAACTTTGTCAGTGAAAATGTGATGAAATAATATCCGAAAAAAGCTGAATGTGGAAATATAATTATTGCATGGTATTAATGATGTCATCAATTTTTAATATACTGCGAACGGTTTCGGAAGCAAGCGTTATTAAACTGGTGGACACTAAAAGTGGTTGAAAGACTTTCTCCTCGAACATGTTGGTAATGGCTCCTTTTCGCACGTTTATTCCTGTTAAGATTTCCCCTTGAGAGTGACGATTTCTAAGCTCCGTCACGGTGGCAATTGGATTCAAACCTGCGTTTTCGGCCAATGTACTTGGAATAACCTGTAATGAGTTTTTTTTAGTAAAAAAACAAATTTTAGCTCTTGTTGAAAAAACTATTTTTTAATATTTTTTAAAACATATATTTTGATAGAAACAAACCTCCAGAGCGTTTGCGTAAGCACGAACGCAATAGCCGTCTACGCCTCCAAGAGTTTGTGCATAAGCTGCGAGTTTCAGAGCTAATTCAATTTCCGGTGCACCTCCTCCAGCAATCAATGCCTTTTGCTTAACTAAGCAACGGATGACACAAAGAGCATCATGCAGAGACCTGTCAGCTTCGTCCAAAACTAATTTGTTACTTCCACGAACCACGATTGTAATCGTACGTCCTGGATTCTGGATTCCAGTGATCTGTAGAATAAAATTTTAATACACTTGTAATAAAAACCATAAAATTCATATTATTGCAATCATTCTAGGAATAAATCTCACCTTAACGAATTTCGAATTTCCAGTTGCGACTTCTTCGCACAATTCAGCACTTGAGAGATTCTCAGCTGTAAAGTGATCCAAGGAGGCAATCGGTCTGCATCCAAGAGTTTTGCAAACGTATGAAATGTCCTCACGTTCGATATCCTTGATGACCATGACCTTGATTTTGTCCAAAAAGTGAATCGCAAGGTCACTTAGGGCATCACGAAGAATTGATTTCTGAATTAGGAGAACATTACAACCAGCCTTTTTGATCTGTTTCACAATGTTGAGAATGTAGGCTCTTTCTTCTTTCAAGACACGATCCATCGCTGAATAATCGGAGACAACGACATTGTGATCCATCTGTAAACGAAAACAAAATTATTTCATATCTCTCAAATTGCTGGAAAAGTATAAATCTAGTTATTAATGTCAAATCTTCAGCACTTACGTCAGTTTTAGGTGGAGATAAACAGAACTGGATGAGACCGATTTTAGCCTTCTCAATGCGTCTTGGTCCATTGACGTTCGAGCTCTTCTGGGTGAACACGAGACCATCGATCAGTTCCGTATCTTCAATGGTTCCACCAAGTTTCTTAATCACTTTGATGTCCTAAAAAATTCATTCTTTCATTTTCTTGCCCATCTTTTTATCTTGAGTTATAATTTTTATAATTTTTCAACTATTTTCAATTATCAGATAAAGAAAGTTATTGTTTACCTTCAAGTCAACGGAATTCTCTCTTCCGGGTTCGGTAACTTTAAGCACAGCATCCACTGCCAAAGGAGCCAAAATACCTGAGTGCTGAGAAACAACCTGCAAACAAGGAAAAGTTTAAATATTACATTTTTAATTAATTAAATTAAAAAATTCTCAAAAAATGTAAAAAAATCAAAAACCCTGTATAGAAAGTAGAAAATTACTTTAGAATTTAAGGAGGTAGCAGCTGTTTCGACAAGTGATGCTTTATCGGACAAATTGACAGTTACACGTAAATCCATTAAAATTTCAACAGCTTTCGTGGCTGCAATTTGGAAAGCCTCACTGATCGAAGTTGGATGGATTCCTTTATGCAGCAAATTATCTGCAGCTTCTAAAAGTGCACCAGCTACAATAACGACACTAGTTGTTCCGTCACCGGCTTCAGAGTCCTGAGCTTTTGACAATTCAACCAACTGGAAATAAAGAAAATTTGTAAATTTATAACTTGTAAATTATAAATAAAAAATAAATTATAAATATTCTTTATTTAATTTGGAAATTAATAGTTATTGTATTGTACCATTTTTGCTGCAGGATGGACAACATTCATTTCTTTCAAAATAGTTGCTCCATCATTTGTTATAGTAACTTCGCCATTTGCTGCTTGAATCTAAAAAAGGAATCGATTAAATAAAATCTTCAATTAACTATATAAAAATATATAAGATAATATATATAAAATAATTTTAGCAAATTACCATTTTGTCCATTCCTCGAGGACCCAAACTGGTGCGAATTGCATCACTGACAGCTGAAAATTGACAAATTATTTATTAACCTGTATACAATTAAATAATATAAAAAAAGAAAAATTTGATTAAAAAATTTTAACGATTTCAACAAAAAGATAGACATAACCTCAAAGTTACTAACGAAAATAAAAAGCAATCAATTTAAATTGAATTAAACAGAGCCATTTGTATTCAAAATCTAATTTTATATTACGAAGTCCTTTATATTACTTATACTATAATTATTTATAATTTTTCATAAATATAATTATGAATGTAATTATGGTAATTATTAAATATAATAAATTAAAGAGTAAGAGATTAAAATTTTTCAGTATATTCTTGTTATAATAACATTAATTGCATGTAAAATAAATAATTCACTTAAAAAATGCTTATTACTTTATTTTACTTTATAGATCGGAGTAATTTATGAAAATGTGGGTAAATCACAACCGGTCCAAGACATGACCATAAATGGAGAACTTCAAACCGAGAATGACAGACATTTTTATTAAGCACCAAAAAATATTACCGCATGAAAATGTGGTGAAAAATAAATTATTATTATTATTATTATTTTTAAATGATAAATTACCTTTTGCAGCATTAATATTACTGCTACGAATGTCTGTAGGTTTAGTTTTATCTTTATAAGCTTGGGAGTGGGTGGCTGTAGATAATTGAGTCATTTTTGATTTACTTCCTGCGCTTTGTCGATCGAGCTTTGTGTAAATTTTCTGCAAAGCAGGATTTGTATAATTCCGAGGTGCGCTTTCGCGAGACACTTTTGCAAACTTTTTTATAAAAAGATTTTAAACAAGAAACAAAAGCTATTCGACCGCGTGCAGAAACAATTTCAACGACATGAAGTATATGAACAATATAGAGGGGGAATAATGTAGTAAAATATAGCATGCGGCAGGAAAGAAAACTAAAAAAAATACTTGGAGAAAAATAAATAAAATTTATAAAGGGAGTCAGAGGATATACTTTTTTGTTTTATATTTGAATTTTTAATTACTCTTTTAATCAAAAGGTGTTGAGAAAATTTACAAAATTTGGGTGTGGAAACTGTGAATTTGAATTATTTCGTTGCGCTGCCGCCAGGTGGCAGTGTTAAATTATCCAGACATTTGATTGGTCGTAATGTTGTCCTTTAAATTTTTTGAACTATGCTCATTTGTAGGTTATGTTGATCATTTGTGGCGCGATTCGGCGGTTAAGCTATTGTTGTTATCGGTGTTGTTTTAGTTTTTTTATTTATTAAATTAATATCTAAACTTTGTAAATACTCCAACTTTATAGTTTCGAAAATTTAATAGTGAAACGTGTGAATAGTGTTTATTGTCGCATTTTACGTGTGACAAAATCTACCCTTATTATTTGCTCTTCTCAATGAAGAACTGATTCTGATTAGTTTTACTCTTTCCATCAAAACAATTTGATTTCTACAAGAACAAAGTTTGGAAGAAAGTTAATAAACGGAATTTTTCTCTTTTAATAGAGGTATCAAACTTTTCTGCAATAATAATAATTTTTCTCTATAGTAATATAATAACACTTTTGTTAATAGAAAAATTATATCTTTTCTTTTGGCGCAGTATTTGGCAACAGAACTCGCGTCATGAAGTGCTGTCAATAAAATGATGTTTAACTACAAAGAGCATCGTAAACCATGCAATTAAAAGTTCTTTGTATTGTTAAAAACTGCTCTTTTGGAACATGGTTGAAACTTGCATAAAGAACAAGGTATCTAGATTTTTTTGCCTTTTATTATTCTCGTTATATTGTTATTACTATAAAAAACCAAAGTTCATAAAAGTTTTAAAGTTAATTAACAACTGAAAATTCTGCAAACAAACGATTTTCTCGCGTCATTGACATTAGCAAATAATATTAATATCGAGAGAAAGCATTCGTTTTTCTGCATTTTTATTATAAATTTTCTATTTTGTAAATTATTTAAAATAATGAAAAAAATTTGTAAACAGTGCAAATAGTACTTTTTTCGTATTTTATAAAATATATTCGGTTTCTTTTTATTTTTGCAATACTGATTCGATTATAATTTTTCATCTCGCAAGAAAAGAGCGAGATGCTAAAATATAATATTTCACACGAGAACTCGTCCAGTCGTCCTCTAATTCTTTTTTTCATCATCCCGCAGGTAATCATCAGCAAGGCACTTAAAAAATTTCACCTTGGAGGCGAATGAGAGAAATTCTACGCCAGTGTAAATTTAGGCTCGGCGCACAACGGTTAACTGTCGGCGCGCGGTTGCGATCAAAACCAACAACCAGCCGATCATCGGTCGATTTTAACATCGAATGTTTAAAATTTTAACTCGTTTAAAAGTTACACGAAGAAAGGAAAATCAAAACTAAATTCAATCAAAACGAGATGAGAAATTAACTTCCGAGCAAGAAGCAGCATTAATTTGAACGACCTTTAAATAATTCCCGATGTGTCAGGTATGTAAGCTCAATTCGTTACGGATGACGTACGCTGCAACATCACCTGAGCACCTGTTTGTTGTGCGAGTTAATCGCGACGTGTCGCAGTAACGCTTTTCCAGTATATTTTTCGCTTTTAAAATAAACAGCGCCGAGAGTTTAATCGGAAAATTGAATTTTTCACGATCTTCAGTCGAGAACAGTCTTCGTTTTCAAATGGTTCGTTCGGGACGCGCGTCTCACCTGAATAGAATATAGTTACAGTGTTGACAAGTGTTTCGTGTGTGAATAATAATAATACAGTAAATTCCATAATGCTGATTTTGTGATTGTGTCGACAATTATTTTTGCAATTTTTCTACTGGAAAAGTGTCAGAACAATTAATGGAGAATTTAATGAAAGTATAATGACATTATCATGAACGTCCCTATAATTTCTGGAGATATCGACGATGAGGATTATAAGCCGCGTTTCGTTAGGGTGAGTACTTTCTGGAAATTATTTTAATTCTTTTAATCTGTCTTCGCATTCTTGCGATATATTCTTATTTCACAATTTCATGGGAATATAATTCCGTGTCGCAATATATTCAAAATAGAATCACAAATTCTTTCACCTATTAATTTTAAGTGTATGAAAATTAGAAAGATCTTTGAATTAAAGAGACTAGAATTTATGACTAGATATTTATATTCGATAAAATATCCCCGATTTTTTGAAAATTAAATCTAATCGATAAAATGTTATAAAATAACTTTCCTTTTCGGGAAGGAATTTATATCTAAATAATTCATATTCGAAAAAGAAAAAATATAATCTTATCGAGATTATAAATTTAAACCTTAAATTAAAAAATTCAAATTCCTAAAATTCGGGAATTTTTTTTTAAAAAAGAAATAAAATTTTTTATTTATTTAAAAAGTACACAAATGGAAAATAAATGTGCTAATAATTAGTTATATCAACGTTCAAATAGCAAATACCAAATTATTTAATTAAACTTGACTGAATATGGGTAAAATATGACTCAAACAATATGCAAACAAAATACGTAATTAAAACAGTGATTAATCCTCGTGGTAATTATTTTTTAATAGAATTTTCGTTTTTAAAAATAGATTTTATCATTTGTTCTTCAAAATTGTTTTTTACCTCTTAATTACTATCTGATATAGTCATAATTAAGGAATCCGTTGAAAAATTCATAATTTCCAGACTAACTACGTCATTTGCTAAAAGAATTGTTGTTATCGAAGGATTCACTTATATGTGTATAATTTTCTGACATAATCAACATTCGTTTTTAATTTGGTATTTCATTTTCTAAGAAATTTTCACTCATATGAATATTTTTAATGAGTTTCAAAGAAATTTTGTTTTATCACTTTTTTATATTTTCGAAAGAGTATTTTTTATACCCACAAGTTTTAAACGTTCAAATAATTTTTAATTATTTTTATTTTTATATATAATTATTTTTAATTTGTATTTTATTAAATTTAATTATTTTTATATTAAAGAAATTAATTCTTAACTACGTAAATAGTAAACAATTTTTAATTTGCAATATTTTTTATTTTACTCAGTAAATTTTTAAATTCAAAAATTTCAATTGATCGAATTATTTCTTCGTTAAAAATATTTTCAAAATTTACCGATTCCATTAAAAATAAAAAAAATAAAAATATTTTGAATGTTCCTTAAGTTCTGAACGTTCAAATAAATAAAATTTATTTCTTTTTCAGATTAAAATTTTATTACTATAATAATTTTGTGTCAAGTATAAAAGAAACTAATTTTAAAGTTTCTAAATGTAAAATTTAAGTTTTTAATTTGTATTCAAATTAGTAATTTATGGGAATATTTTTAATAAAAAGTACTTCGATTAATTATAACTTTCAGAAATTAAGGGACATTTTTTCAAACTATTTAAGCAAAACCAATTTCGTACGATATTTCTCAGAACCTTGGGAATTTTTTTTTAAAATTAAAAGTTGGTAATTAAATCAAAATAGAATTATTTAAAATTTTTTAAACAAAGTAAAATTTTTAAACAAAACTATTTGTAGAGACAAATTTTAGAAAATTGTCAACAATTGCGGTTGTGAATATTTCTCTCTACATAGTTATCTGAAAATGTCCTAAATACATACATAAATTATTTCACAATTAACTAGTTATTCTCTATTGTAAACCATTCTTTATACGTTTAAATTTACATAAATCTTAATAATCGAGACTTGCCACTCACGTATATTTAAGTGGGTAATAATAATTTAATATTTTTCTCAAATCCCATCTTTCTTTTTTCAATAATTAATGCTTTTTAAAATGCGCGCACGTTCCTTTATTTATTTTTTCCAGTGGGTTTAAATTCTGTTCCAATTCTATAACAAATTATTTTCTGTAGAAATGCAGAATAATGATAATAATTATTAAATATTTCGAAACAAAGGGAATAAGTTATTGAGTAAACATTCTTTAAAGTCATTACCTCATTTAAGTCATATTTTATAAAGCGACGATTATTAATAAATGATTCTTGGTACGTGTGCTTTAAAGTATATAAATCTTTTATCGAAAAGATAAAAGGCGTATCATTTCCGAATAAAGGGTTAAATCATTTTTGTTTATGGTTTTAATAAAAGAAATCAAAATATAAAATTATTAATATTCTTTCTTCACGCGATGATTTTACACATATAGTGGAGGCTAAGAAACTAGAAAATTTCTGATTATGATTGATCGATTTGTCTGTATATCTAATACGTTGATCAGTTACTTTATTTTTCTCTCTTCTTTAATTAAAGTGTCTATTTTGACATTTTGTACAAACCTTCAATTCATCAACATTTTTTTCAATTCCATTGGTTTTGAAAAAATATTCTTTTCTGTTTTTAAAAGTCGTATTTACTATTTTATCAAAACAGGTTTACTATTTTATTAAAATATGTTTACTATTTTATTAAAACATGTATACTATTTTATTAAAACATGTATACTATTTAACTAAAACATGTTTTCTATTTTATTAAAATATATTTACTGTTCTACTAAAATATTTCGAATACTGTGAAATAAATTCTGTTAAGATCTCTTTAAGTTTCATATCGATATGCATAATATGTGTTAATTGTTTTGAAAAATGTTTTAATCACTATAATTAAAAAGGAAAACTAGATTAGGCCTAAAGTTTTATTTACACAGTGATTAAGTGATTGGAATTTTACAGGACTTTCCTTTTTAAACTATGATTAAATGTCAAACTAAATGTCCCATAAAACTGCAATATTTAACTTTCTAAAGCTAAAGTTTAAATTTCTTTTTCGAAAACCGCTTATTAAGGATTGGAAATCATTATAAATGTATCATAGTTTCTCGAAGTTTCTTGTATTTTTGAAAATTGTTCCATTTTAATGCATATATTAATTTCTTCGCATTTTATATCAATAATCGACGAACGCATCTTAATATTCATAAAGTTTTTCATATATAGTTATTTTTTTGTCGTTCTTTACCTGAAAACGAATTAATTTCTTAAAAATTTGTTGGCAATCTCTCTAAATTTGAATTAGTTACTGACTTTTTGCTTTTGAATAAGTAAATAGTATCACTATTGAATAGTAATTTATATACTAATTTTTGAGTCAAATTTACTAATTTAAAAGCAAAAAGTCAGTCACTGATTCAAATTATTAAACATTTTTAATTTTTCACTAATTCAAATTTAGAGAGATGTTGACATAAAAAATTAAATAAGAAAACATTAATTAGAAGAAATAATTCTTTTTATACGTAAATTTTTTCGTTTTTAAAAACATTGTTGAACTTCAGGCTCATATCTAAAGTTTGAAAAATACAAAAAATTGATAGTAATTTGAATTTTAAGCAAGCCGTTCCACTTTTGTACTTTTATCACGAAACGTAATTAAACATCTGTGTTTACTTAGAATGAGTAATGTTTGTTCAATTTTGTCTTTTTGATGAAAATATGTTATACTTTGTTATCCTCATTCTTGCGTTTTATATATATGATAAAAATATATATACATAAATATGAAAATTTATTAAATTTTTATAAAATTCATTCTGTTAATTCAATTTCTTTTTTTAAATCTAGAATTATTATATTGAATGAAGAAAATTTTAATTAAACTAAATTAAATTAAAAATTTTTAATCTAAAATTCGTATAGAATGAAGTGTTTGAAATGTTCATAAAGTTCTAAATGTTCAAATGAACAAAATTTATTTACTTTCGATGCTGAGCGTTGACGTTAATTTTATGGAAATTTTTTTTTTTTTGCAAATAAGATCATGAACTTTTGATCAATTCATCTTCGAATATCAACTCGAAATTTTAAATAATTTTAGATTCAAAATTAAAAAAAGTCCACCAATTAACAAAAATAATAATTATTATTATTTATTTTCAAAAATTCTAATAAACTTTTTTGAAACAATTAACTAGTTTAAACAGTAAAATTCTACGTAAGAATTATATTATTTTAAATAATCATAATAATATTCGTTGTAGGAATTATTTTAATTTGAATATTTTCACTAATTTTAATAGCATTTTGCAAGAATTAAATTATTTTCGTGAATAATAAAATTTTTCATACAAATTCAATTATTTTCGTAAATATAACAAATTTCGTTTGACTGATCTAAAGGGGCGGTATCAATTGCCCTCAATTCAACTGTATACAGGAAAACTGCCCACAATAAACTGCATACTGGAAAACTGCATACAAGCAAATTTTAATAATAAAATTATTAAATTTAATTTGAAAACTGTATAAATCTAAACTGCATACCGTTAAACTGCACATAGGTAAACTGCACACAAGTCTAATTTTCTATTAAATTTATAAATAATTAATATTAAAAACCTGTATACAGTTAAAGTGTACATTGGTAAACTGCATACAAACTAAATTTAAAAAATTAAATTAAAAATTTATTTATTGTTTAATTGCACACCGTTAAACTGAACATTGCTCAACTGCATACTCTCTAAATCTGAATATGTGAAATTTCACTTATTGTACGTTATAAGTCGTCCTCTCGATCAATAAGTGCATATACACTTATAAATAAGTGAATTTTTCACTTATTGTGAGTGAAATTTCACTTATTATAAGTGTATATGCACTTATTGATCGAGAAGACGACTTATAACGTACAAATATGTGAATTTTCACATATTCAGATTTAGAGAGTACAAAATAAATAAATAAATTAAAAAAATTTAATGTATCGTCAAATTGCACATCGGTAAACTGCATACATATCAACTGTATACAGCTAAGTTCTCTTCTATGAAGTTGACAGTTGCGAATATATTCATAGAAGAGAACTTAGCTGTATACAGTTGATATGTATGCAGTTTACCGATGTGCAATTTGACGATACATTAAATTTTTTTAATTTATTTATTTATTTTGTATGCAGTTGAGCAATGTTCAGTTTAACGGT